AGCTGACAATGGGCTAAAGCCTGCTGTTGGCTGACATCACTCAGCTGGTCCAGGCTTTGGGAAGAGATGCCTGAACTGGCAGCTGGCTCAGACTCTCAGCGAGCGGCTGAGAGCCTGAGCCATCCATTCCCTCTCCCTTCCCTGCCTGATACCCTGGTGAGCAAGGGGCGGAGCAGAGAGCCGGAGACTTACAGTCATTAGCTCTCTGCAGGCCGAAGATTGAGAGCTGAGCGCTCAGTGGTGTTTGATTGCTCAGTTCTCAGTTTTAGAGGAGGAGGGAGACAGATGCAGCTGGGATCGGTATTGAAGCCCTCTAGGTTAGAATGAATGTTTTTTTTTTATTCCTGAACTTCTGTTTTAATTCAGACATTCCCACTTCCTAGTCAGTGACTCAGACAGTACTGAAACCAGAGGGTTATCATAATTGCATGATTCTTTTTTTTTTTTTTTTTTTTAATGCATCAGCCCCATGACATTTTAAATAACCCTTTAACAACTTAACATGGTACTTTTGGCTTGCTCTCTAACTTGCCCTGTATATTCAGAATGCATTTTAGGTCACTGAACATCACCATCATTATGTGACATCATTAGTCAGGCTATGCATGATTCACTTATTTTTTAATTCAGCCAGTGAGTTGAGAAAAAAAAAGAGCTGATTCCCCTATCCACACATGCCATGTGTATAGGGGAATCACTCCTGCTGAGCTCCTGTATTCTTCCTTTTGAGAAGAATACAATGATCCCTGTCACCAGCTATAGCCAGTGGCACTGCTCATTCATAGAAAAACCCAACAGACTGGTTGTTGTACAACCAGCTAGCCCATACATGGATCGGAATTCGGCCTGTCCCTGCTGAACTGGCTGAATTTTGATCTATGTTTGGCTTTAAACTTCAGCAGCACTAATGACCCAAACCCCAATGTCCAACCTTTTGACTTTTCTGGTCCGCTCTGGAAGAAGAGGAATTGTCTTGGGCCACACATAAAATACATCAACAATAAGGATAGCTGATGAGCAGGAAAAGTCAGGCAGATCACAAGTTAGCAATCACTTATATAGACAGAATACCTATCTGAGTAATAAAACATTTTTTTAATTTATATTTTTTATTATATTTTTAATATATTTTTTATTATAAAAGTAAAAGAGGGCAACATAAAACTTATGCAACATTTGACACTAACAGATCAATATCTGATTAGATGGATGTTGTGTCAATTTTCAAGGAATTCTCAAGGTGCTCATCAGATATTTTGCTTCCAATGTGTGCCCTTTGTGTGCTTCATCCTTGAAAAATAGTTGCTCACAAAATAGGTGCTGCCAAAACTGATGACATGAATAAGGTGTGATTGAAAAGAGTGGGATATTTTTAATTTGGGAAGATAAAACTTATAAGAGTCCATTAAGAGGCACTGTCAAATTTTCCTTCAGCCACTTGTGTTCGCTAAGTAACACATTTTTAAAAAGAAATAAATAAAAAAAACAACATTTTCAAGTAAGTGTACGATTTTGCGTTGGGACAGATTCATAGCCGCGGCAGGTTGGACACTCCAATCTAAACCATTAGAAACTAAACCGTATCTGTTTGTACTTCCTATATTTCCCAATAGGGGGCGATCCAACTCCTAGTTTGTCACTCCTGGACTTGTTTTTAAAGTTTCTGAGAACTACTTGGAGCTGGTAATGTTTTCATGATTCAGTCTCAATATTGTGGTTTTTAAAGGCTTTTTAGACTAAAAAAAAAATCTTTTACCCAAACCTTTTGAATTCCTGTTTGCGAAGGTTGGGTGTAAAAAGTGTTCTTATTAGCATTACTAGATTATTAAATAAATATAGAAAAAAAAAGAAAATTAAAAAGAAATAGCTACAGCTGTACAATGATAGATAAGATGCAAACATGCAATCCAAAGAAAGAGAGGATGCAGACATGTGATCGCAGATCTTTTTGTGCAATTCAGAAGAACTGGTTTTCTAATTCTTTATTTCGGAGCAGCAAAGAGTACATTACAATGGTAACATAATATACAGTCATAGTTGACAAAAGTAACAAACAGTCATAGAGTTTAGAAAGCCTAAAGCAGTAAACACAGTGAACAGACCAAGGCAGGCCATAGACATCCGTTTATCGGCCGAATGTTCGGCCGATAAACTAAAAAATCGGTTGGCCCCATGGCCGATGCTGCCACCCATGTCCGCGAAAAACAGCATGACCGATAAAACTAAACGAGAAGATCCACAAAAAACGGCTTATGGGTTGGCCCCACTAATGGCGTGAATATCGGCCGATTTTTCGTGTATGGTCTGCATATGACAAAAACACTTCTTGAAAACACCTGAATTTGTGTTCCTGACTATTGTTCAGGGGAAGAGAGGCCAGAATTGTGTTTTAAATTAGAAAATTCTTGTATGACTTTTACATATTGGGGGTTATTTACTAAAACTGGAGAGTGCAAAATCTGGTGGAGCTCTGCATAGAAACCAATCAGCTTCCAGGTTTTATTGTTAAAGCTTAATTGAACAAGCTGAAGTTAGAAGCTGATTCACTACCATGCACAGCTGCACCAGATTCTGAGTGCTCCATTTTTAGTAAATCTTCCCCATTGTATATCAGTGTTTAAAAAAATTGGTGTTTTTATTTTGAAACCATTTTTCATTGAGACCATCTTGCTATTCACATGCCAAATATTTAGAAAATTCAGCCAGCATTTTTTTGCCAAATGATTATTACCCAGTTTCGAGTAACAGCAGGGGTAGAAGAGTTGGGTTTTTCCATGATTTTACAAAGAAAATATACTGTATGGCTCATTTGTTATGAAATGAAATATTGTTACTCTTATGTACTGAAGTTCTCTATCTTGGCTAGCATTCCTGGTTTGTCTTGTTCAGAAGGGTAGATCAAGATCGAAAGATAATTTTTGTAGTAGGGTACATAGAAGTGTCATGTCACTAGAAGTCTCATATCCAGGGGCAGACTGACAACTCATGGGGCCCCCGGGCAATAGGGGATCATGGGGCCCCTGTGTCCTTGCCCAAACTCAAAAAAGCCTATGAAAAAGGTACCAGGGGCATCTCATGGGGCCCCCTACTGACCCCGGGCCCCCTCGGGCAGTGCCCGAGTTTCCAAATGGTCAGTCCACCCCTGCTCATGTCACTTTCAGCTGTGAATATAGAAGGGGCGCCAGATACAGTGTATGTCCTACATAAAAATGTCTGTGTATTTAATATAGATAGACATATTTTTAACAGGCAAATGTTGGATCTTTCAATGTAGTAAATAACAAAAAAGTGCAGCACTAGATAAGGTTAAGAACCATCAATTCATACAAAAGTCCAAGCTAAATAGTGTTGAAGTCCATCAGACACATAAAAATCCATGCTCAAAAAATCTCCTTGAATGAGTGAAACCCAACCATCAACAGAGATGGAAAAACCACATTCAGTGACACCTCTAAGATCCTGGTGAAAAGCACAGACATGCAAGAGCTCTTACCAGAGCTATTGGGCTTTTATATAAAAAAAGCCAACAGCTCTTTAGGGGTTAACCCTGCATGACTCTCCAGTTTATGGTGCAGAGATGGTTCTCCCCTTGACTCCAACTCTGTTTCCACAAGTAAATCATGCAAGGAATAAGCAATAATAGTATAGTATGCACAAAACTTTAAAATTTTATTAAAAGTAAACGAATGCACTCACAAGTTTAAAAATTGCATAGCCATCAAAAAAAGCGATCCCGGGCTTGCAGCAATCACGGTGTATGGATGTTCCAGCTGGTGGCCATGTAGCATGGTGACATTTGAAATGTTGGATCTTGATTTGGATAGTGCCTACAGATAAAAGTGATATACTTGAACAAATAACATATAAGTGACATGGTGTATTTATTTTCATGATCTAAATTAATGAAAATGCTGATTTGTTATATGGAAAACACATGAGAAGTACACCCTGATGATTACCTCCACTTCAAAACCATGAAATCCGCTGTTACAGATTAGGTGTCAATGATTAGAACCAATAGAACGTTTATTTGAAAAATGGTTACACTCACATGAAAGTGGACATAAATAAGCATGTAAAAGCAAAATATCCAATTCTTCCAACATCCAAAACGTTATTCTATTGGTTTTACACTATGTGGAGCATTCGTCTCTTGCATGTCTCCTAATACCTATTTGGTGTCCCATCCGGAGTGCTTTAGCTACCTTATTTAGGATCATTGCTTGGAGGATCTTTGGTATTTCTCCCTTGGGGATCCAGAGGAGTGTCCGGCTTTCCAGTTTTCTGGGTTATCATACAGCAAAGAGTGATTGACAACGCTTAACAGGGGGTCATATCTCTCTGGTAAGCCTTTTATGTGAGTGGTTGGTGACACATCAGCTATCTTTGGATTTTCCTGTTCATCATGGCTTTGGGGACTTTCCTTTATTTTTGACAACTCTAGATGGATATTTCCTTTAATGATTTATTATTATAATTTTGTCTCACCAATTGTTTTCTGTTAAGCGCTGAACTTTATATGCATACTTTTATATTGCCTGGTATTGGGGTGTAGTGTTCAGCTGCTATATATTTGCACTCTCATTTTTATCTTACGTTTAGCGCAGATTTATATATATTTTGAAGGAGTCATTTCTGCTGAAGGGGCAATACCAACTTTTGATGCCAAACGAGTACATACTTTTCCATAGTACACCATTGCATCTATTGATTTTTTTTTTTAATAAATGATTACAAGGCAAATTGTTCTTGTGGTGTTATTCAACAATATTTATCTGTAGGCATCATGTGAAAGAAGATGTCATTTTTGCCTGATCAAATATTTTGAAAAAGACCAAAGGTTTCCAATGGGGTGTACGTAATTGTTCATTTGACCAAATGTCTATAATTATAGAGGGGAGTTGCAGTTTTTCACTGGTTAAATGGATTACAGTCAACTATGTATCTATACAATGAATTCCTTTAATCTGATTGGCTATTGTGCTGATATCGTGCATCAGGATCCTGGCCCTACTGTGCATCATGAAGACGACAACCTACATCATCACCTGCAACGTATGGAAAATTCACTGAGTATGTTCGCAGAGGAATCCGACCAAAACCGGCTTCTCAGTCACATAAGTCGCATGGTGTTGGAGTTTAACCGTCTGGCAAGCAAAGTGAACAAGAACGAGATGAGGACATGGGTATTACAGGTACAAAATTACAGTATAACAGTAAGTCCCCATCACACCAGTGTGAATTGTCATGCGATTTGATTGTTTCAAATTGCATGACAAGTCGCACCCTATTCTCTGCAATGGAAGTGGTCAAATTGTGCACTACATGCACTACTTTTTGCAATTCATATGGGAATTGCATAGACATCTGTGCATGAAGTTGCACAGATGTCTTCCAAGTCGCACCTGAAGTCGTACTGACATCCAACTTTGAATTCCAGTAAAGCCGCATAATTTCAAAGTCAGATTTGGTGTGACCGAAGCCTCAGAAACATAATAGTGCCGTGTTGCAAATAAATAGTAATCATTTGTACTTTCATACCTAAAAGCCACGTTGAGGTCACCAAAATAAGTACTGAGCTAGGAAGACTTTGTGTTTGCCATCTCTGTTTTTAGAATCTTCGCTTCATTTTCCTGTAAGTAGTTATGCACGCTCTCTAATTATGACTGTGCAGAGGCACAGAAAACCGTGTCAGACTTGCCAGCTTGCTAATTCCAGCATTGGTACTGCTGTATACTGCCCATCATGTCTAAATCCACCAATGCTTAAAGTGGAAAAATAGCAAAAAAAAAAATGGTATAGCATATAAAATTGCGGCACAAGTCTTATTGTAATTCAATGCTAGTAAAAATTACCTTTCCTTTTCAATCTGCAGCACTGTAATTTTCTGTAAAATACAATACAAAATGGCTACCTGGAGGTGTTCTGTACACAGAATGTGTACATAATGCCCCCCCCAGAAATATCCTGATTGTGTGATTGGCTCACTAATTTTCCCAGAAGTCTGCACTAAAGATACAAGTCAGATTTCAGGAATCCCCTGCAACAAAAATGTCATTTTTGGTGAGATACTCACAATAGGAAATCATGTCTAAAGGGACGCAGACCCTGACACTTTCCTCATTGGAGCCCTGGTGGTGTAGCAGCTGATTGATATTTATAAAACCACTCCCATTAGATTCACTTTCACAGAATAACAAAAGGTAGGAATCTGCAACAACGTTTGCTAAAATCCTTGCAATGTGCATAACCACCCAGAGGGGAATGTTTGTTTTTCTCAACAAAAGTGGAGTTACTCTTTAATTCTTACTGATGGGAAGAATCATCCTCCTAAGTGAACCTTGCATCATTTTAAAATTTCAAGCTGAACTCCACTCAATCAAAAATATAAGCCCACTAAGTCTCCATTCACACTTTACGTTTTTACAACTGCCGTTTTTGGCTTTTCACGTTTTTTTCTACAGCTAGTAAACCCCCCCCCCCAGCATGTTATCCTATGTGTCCATGCACACATAGACTGTAATCAATCAATTTTTGGCTGGAAAAAAACTCAGGAGTAGTCTATTTCTAGAGGAGCTTTTTAGCTGTAAAAATGCTCTTACGCTGAAAAACGCCATAAAACAGCGAAAACCTGCGTTTTTTTTTGGCTTTTTTTGACCGTAAAAAAACCCAAAAAATGCAAATGCAGGAAAATGTCCCTAAAAGTGGCAAAACGCTAATGCAAAAATGCTAAAAAAAAGCTAAAAACCACGTTTTTAACATGACTTTACACAGCTTGGAGCTTAAAAGTTATAAAAGCTCAGCTTCAATCCGTAGCTGTGGCTTTCATTACTTTCTTTCTGCCAGTAGGTGTCCTCAGATTTCTGGGTCGAATAACAGCTAGCATCATTCAACCCACTTCCTCTGAGCCCAGGCTCTCATAGATTTGCCCCCAGTCTTTGACTCTACAGTGACAGAGAAGCAGCACAGTCATGGGCTCATCTCTTTTTCACTCTACTTTCTCCTCCTATCAGTATGCTCCTCATGCTGCTTCTCCCTATCACACTATAAGCCCTGCTTTACAGGGATTGAAAGAGGGTTATATCAGGTAACATTTAGGTGCTTGCATTTGAAAAAATGTTCATGATGTATTAATGATTACAACGTTGCATTCATCTGTGTCTTTTTAGCTGCCTAGAGTTCAGCTTTAAATAGTCCTGCCTAAGTCAAGATATTGGTTGTTGTAGTTTACCCTTAATGGACTGTTTTTATTCTTCCGGAATGTAGACTGTATGCAATGTACACCACTCCCTCAAATATTATTTATTAGGCAAAAAAAGCCTCTTCTGTGCCCCTTGATAATTTAGTTTCACTTTACTATGGGGTCTGATTTTTGCTGACTTGATGGCTAGGCTCAGAGGAAGTCATGCTCAGTCAGTTGGTCAACGTCGCTCCAAAACTGTAATGAAGTGTGATTTTGTTCTGCATCTTATAGACATTGTGTGAACAGCTGAGGAAAGAGAATGAAGACTTAAGGTCTAAATTGGAGGATGACTGGAACAAAAGGAGCCAGGTTGAGCAAGATTTGAGGTAAGAGGCACCATGCATAGCCATACCATCCAGTTATTTCCAAGATCCATGCCTCATATAAGTATAGGTATATTTATAGGTCAAAAAGAACTCTGGGATGTCCTGTTCATATCTAAACTGTCCTCTTAAAGTAATTGCTTTTTTTTTTAACCACTTGCCCTCCATAGGATTTACCCCCCTTATTGACCAGGCCTTTTTTGCGATAGGGCGCTGCGTTACTTTAACTGACAATTGCGCAGTCATGCAACGCTGAAGCGGTTAATAACAAACATGTCATACTTCCCTGCCCTGTGCACTAGTTTTGCACAGAGCAGCCCCAATCCCCCTCTTCTAGTGTCTCCTACTGGTGCTCCTGGCTCCCCCCCTTTATGAGTACCCCCATAGCAAGCCACTCGCTATAGGGACACACGTCTGGGCTCAATCCTAAGCCGGGCTCTTGTGTGTTCATTATCATGTCCTTCTATAGTTTGGTTTGGTCAGAATACAATGGCATGCTATTAAAAAAAAAAAAAAGCCTGGAGGAAAAAAACAGTAGCTGAAGCTTACAACAAGCAAAGTTCCAGTGTTTTATGGATAGTATTAGTTTTTAGGTTTTATATTCCATGAATATAGCCATTTACTTCATTTTTCAGCTACATGAAACATAATGAATTCTTATACCATTTAGCTGAAACCTCATGTTCTGCCATGGAAGGCTGTGATTAAGCATGCTTGATTATCACTGAAGTGTACATATCAGGTTTGGTAAGCGTTACCATTGGAGTTATGTGAAGTATACACAGGTCTTCGGGTTATGTAACAGGTAGTGTGTTGTGTCAAAGTTATGATCTTGTATTAGTGTATCAGTTAGGCCCAATGGTGTCAATGGAATGTATTTGACATCAATATAGTACACTTCTGAGATCATTCAGGGTTCATTTACAGGTGCATAAAACCTGCAATTGATCTCCCTCTGACCTGCATTTTACTTGCTTCAAGCAGGTTTTGCATTCCTGTAGAATTGTATGGGGATGGAAAAGCCTGTCTGAAGTGAACAAGAGTCGTCAACACAGGCTGCTTTATAGACGTATTTGATAAAATGTCTCACGTTGGTCGATTAGCCCATTTTTCTGCTGGAAGATCCGGAGCCTAGTCTGGAAGATAAGATACCACAAATGCTTGCTTGTAGATAGCCTGAAAGGGACTTCTCTTGTTCACTTCTATCTCATGAAGAGTATTGGCTGGTATGGGAATTTTCTAAAAATGTCCAATTGTTTATCCTAGATGAAAGGTCACAGGCAGCGTTTGCACTTAATAGGAAAGTGTAGCTTAACAGGATATAGTTCGGCTCAGCAATTGTCAGACTGATATATGTCTATGACCAATCCAAAGGACTTGGAATATCCCAGCAATGGCACTCAATGCTAAATTGCAGATTTTAAAGCAATCAAGATAATTTCTTGTAAGAAGCAGTATAGAAACCAGAAAGAGACATAATCTTGCCCCTACACAAAGCATTAGTAGGACCTCATACTGAATGTACAGTTCCGTTTTGGGCACCAGTTCATAAAAAAGATGTGGAAATGGAAAAGTATAGAAAAGGGCAACTAAACTATTGAGCATGAAGGACCTCTGCTATAAAGTTTTGGGCACCAGTTCATAAAAAAGATGTTGTGGAAATGGAAAAAGTATAGTATAGAAAAGGGCAACTAAATTACCGGGCATGAAAGACCTCGGCTATAAAGATTAACTAGACTGAATGTATTCTCCATTGAGAAGAGGTATGATGAGTGAGAGATATAGCAAGTATTAGCAGAAAAAGATATGTTCACCTTAAAAAATGGTCAAAATAGTAAACAGGGAACAAACATTGGACACTTTGAGGGCATTGTAGAAGACAAGGGGGCACACTTTGCTCCTAGAGAAAAGTAAGTTTAACTTCCTCATGTGTAAAGACTTCTGTACAGTAAGATTAGTGAAAATGTGAAATAGACTTATACAAGACCAGGTGCTACCTGATTTAACAGATTGCTTGAAAAAAGGGCTTGATGTGTTTTTAAAGCTAAATTACAGGAATTCAGCCACTTTGTACTAAGTGCAGGCACACTATGACCTAAGTCCAATGAAGTGCATGCCACCTTCTGGACTTCTCTTTTAATTACATCTGACAGGTTTATGAATCTAACAGAGGATATAATCCAGGCTGAAGAGAGGAGAAAAACGCACACAGCAGCTATACTCAGGGGCAGGCATAGCTTCTGCAGCAACTCTACTGTTGAATATGCTGAGAACAAAAGAACTACAGTGATAGCTATCTTCCTGGAATTCTATAATCAAATGTAAATAATAGAGATAAGTCCAGGAGGCATCATGCACCTTGTTGGACCTAACTCATAGTATGCCTTCACGTTTTTACAAAGTCTAGAGTTCAACTTTAATTAAATATACAAAATTATTATTTTTAACATATAACAATGTAAATTGTTGAACCATGTTTATTTTCTTGCAAGAGCCAATTAGACCACACCTGGCTAATCTTGATAGACGTGTCCTTTTTTTTTTCCCTGACTAATCAATGTAACTATATAAAGTGTACATTGTTGCCTTTTCTTTTTTTCCCTCATTGCTTTGTTGACCTCCCTGAAGATATGAAAACCTGGAGCTCAGACAGTTAATTCTGGACAAAGGGAAAACACCAGTAAATAATACCACACCAACAGGGGAGGACATCAGCAAGGTAGAGAATGCTACAAATCAACAGGTAATAACCTTCAAAGTATCAGTCCTGTAAGAATCCAAAAACGTATGACCAGGGGAGGACTGACCATTTGGAAACTCGGGCACTGTCCGAGGGCCCGGGGTCAGTAGGGGGCCCCATGAGATGCCCCTGGTACCTTTTTCATAGGCTTTTTTGAGTTTGGGCAAGGACACAGGGGCCCCATGATCCCCTATTGCCCGGGGGCCCTATGAGTTGTCAGTCTGCCCCTGCATATGACTATTTGATTGGTATTTAATATGCTTAAAGAACCTCTTTCTAAAAATACCAGTTGCTTGGCTGTCTCTGGCTTCAATACTTTGAGTGCCTAAAACCAGCAGGCATCAAGCATTGTCAGAATTAGGTCAGAACACCTAATGTGCTTACTTATTGAGGGTCAGTTACTCAGACAATAATAAAAACAGTGGATCAGTATGACAGTCAGGCAACTGCCATTTTCAAAAGGAGAGGTTAGCTTCTTGATTTTCTTAGTACTGGTTTCATTTAAAAGTTATCTTACAGATGTAAAAGATAAACATTAATACTGATCTGTATTCATTAGTACATCATGAAATGTGTTTTTTTTTTATGCAAGCAGTATAAATATCTGTATTTAACTTGAGTGTTTATGGCTGATGTGGAGAAAACAAACATTTTTGTTTTTTTCAGACTCTTATATCCTATTTTGGTTCCTGGAGCCTGGAGGTTTTGTAGAGCTTTGGGTAAAAAAAAAACCTCTATTCTTAGGTTCATATTTTACCTTGTATACTGACCTCATTATTAGACTCAATTGTCTCCGGATCTTTATATACATGAGCTGGCTAATGCCCAGGGCCCTTCTCTCTCTCTCTCCTGCGGGAGAATGCTTCCAGGTGAAAAGAATGATTGCTGACTGAATGCTAAAAAGGCACAAGATTTGCATATTTGTGCTGGGGAACCCACTAGGGAGGGCACCCTTTTAGTAAGGAACTGAGTTTAGTTAATGGCTCATATGTGCAGATGTTTTGTTTGTTTGATGCTAGGGGCTTTCTGTACAAATCCCTCCTGCTTTTAAACCGTGTTTGTTTTCTGCTTTGCTGGGTGTTCCTGTCCTGTGCATTGTTTACCCCTGCCAATACCAGTTGTACCCCCTTTTTCAATTGATGTCTCCATTCCCAGGCCAACTGGGACGAACACTGACAAGTATATCAAGGATTGACTTAGTAGCATCTGTTTCAAGAGATCATTAGCTAAAATTAAGAAAAATTATGTTTAGCGTGATAGAAAAACCTAATAAAATAGAACAAAACAAATGTACGTGCAGCATACTTGGGATTTGTGATATCAATGAATGGGAGATGATTACCCAAAATGTAAAAACATAATTCCTGTGTTCTTGTCTTGGACTAATACAAGTTGGTAAGTTTAGCCCAAAAAAGATAAGGACGGGATCATATTTGTAATTGAACCCAATCCTACTAAGCTTGCTATCTCTATCAGGAAATCCATAATACTAAATAACTTCCATTTACTTCTCAGACTTCTCTTTTATTTATGTGTTTTGTCATTCTCTTACACAATGCTGTGCACTTGTCAGTGGAAATGTACTATAATTATGTATTATGTGTATAACTCTTGTTTGTATCTTTCATTTGTACATCACCACAGGAAATGATAGAGCTATAAAAACGATTTAAAATATTTGGCTATTGTGACAGACCCAAGAGGTACAGGGACGTTTGGAGGGGACTAGGGGCTAGCTTTCTGCTAAATGATTATGGCCCGTGGAGAGAGCAGATCATTCCCTAATGATGGACAACAACATGAATAATGCTGACAGTGAGACAGTAAATCTTCCATTCTGGAGTGGATGGAAAAATGTAATATTAATCTTGTACAGGTTAATGGTGAGAAGAAACACGGTGGCCCTCATGCTGACTGGGTTCGAGAAGCTCCTCCATTTGGGACAGAAATATTTATAAACACTCTCCCTCAGGAAATCTAAGAAGATAAAATAAATCCACTTTTTCAAACTTGGAATATTGTAAGAGTTTTGTCTTATGATGGACAGATTATACAAGTGAAAGCAAACAACTGAAAGAGCTTGTCTAATGGACTTTGTGTATTCAGGGTGTGGGCATATTGTCAGTCGGTCTAGGGAGGGCTCCTTGATTAATCCAAGCCTCGTTCTCAGCGTTTATCACATTGTTGTTCATCATTAGAGAATGGTCTGCTCGCTCCATGGGCCATAATCAGTTGGTAGAAAGCTAGCCCATAGTCCCCTCCAAAAGCCCCTGCACCGGTTGGGCCTGTCACATTATTACAACGTGACCCTGTGAGGGAATCAACGATATAAAAAAGGCACTAACCAATGAAGAAATTAATATTATACATTCCTGTCTGTGTGCTAAAAATTTCTCTTTGTAGCAGAGTTTTTGGCACTGATTTGATTCAACTTTTCCAGCTCGTTGAATAATGGGTTTCGTCTGCTGGTCACTGTTGATCTAAAGTGATATTTTGGGTATATAAGTGTATTTGTACCTTGGTTAGGCTTTTGTTGCTGTCTGTGTCACCCAGTCTGTCCTGGTGAAAGTGGTGGGAAATCCAACAGTTTATGGTTGTCATCAGAAAAGCAACAAAAGGGAAATCTTACAATAGGGACACCTGTTCTAGTGGCAACCAGAAGGGAATTTCTGTTGCTTTGGGAGAGATTTGTTCTTTCTTTCTGTTGTATTTCCAGGCAGCAGAAAAAAATTATAGGAATGTTACCCATCCCTATTTAATCCAACACAAAAAATAATCATTTTAGACATACTTTAAAGTTACATTAAACCTTCTGGGTTTTTTTGTTTTTAAATTAAAATAACAAACTTGTTATAGTTACATCCTATGTAACAGAGCAGACCTTATCACCCTTTTTTGGGGTCCCCTGCCAGAGCTCCAGGCTGCTCCTCTTCAGCAAGTGCCACCCGTGGAAAGCCATTTTCCATGGGGCCACCCGTGCGTACTTGCTCGCGAGCCACCCTATCTGTGTCTATTGACACAGACCAGGAGGCTCGGCCCTGCTCCCTCTTCACAGCATTAGACTGACAGCAGCGAGAGCCACTGGCTATCAATCTGCCAGGTGAGGAAGGAGACAGCGGTGAGAGCCACCTCTCTTGTGCATATCAATGGATGGGATCGGGCTCAGGTAAGAATAAGGGAGGGCTTGGGGGATCCTGCAGCAAAGAAGGTTTTTTTACCTGAATACATAGAATGCATTAAGGAAAAAAAAAACCTAAGGCTTTAGAGCCACTGTAAAGTATAAAGCTTCCAATTATTTTATTTTTTTCTTGTCCAGTGAGATTGCTTTTGTGATAAATAAGGGCACTGTGATTAAACTAGGGATGGTGGGCATTCCTTAGTAACAGAGTAAAATCAGTTTAAAAAGGGGCTGCAAAGTAGGGTTTTTCTGGCCATCAAATGTACTAGCAGGGACTTAGGCCCAGATAAATTAGTTCTATTACATCAGGTTGTATAACCTAATTTGTATTTGAATATGTATGTAAGTGTATTCCTTTTCTGTAAGTTATGTCGGTAATTGTATTACAAGTTTGCTTTACAAAATTTTAGGGGCCACTTGTATGTTTTACAACTGTCCTATAAACCGTCATTTTTGATTCACAGCTGTATACAGTAATTTCCTTTGGTGAAGTGCTTGACATATTTTGAAACAAAAAGTCTGCATGTCTCAAATCTTTCATTTGTTCTTCCAGGCAGCCAAATTGGTTGAAAAACCAACAAATAAAGACCACAGCGGAGTGTTGTTAAAGAAAGTGAAAATTCTGGAACATCAAAGGGCAGAGGTGAGAGTACAGAGAAAATACTTTTCTGTATCTGCTTCATACTCTGGTTATTGTACATTAATTACTATCTTGTCTCACATGAGATCTCTTTAGCATACCTATTGCTAGGAAAAATGGAATGGCAGTCAGTGAGAACACATTGCTGTGTTGCAACAATTCCAGTCATTTGCAGCCCAGATGCTCAGTGAACAGGTGCTTCTCTGAAGCTTTTGGAGCTAGCTACAAATTTGTCAACTGTGGCAGCTGCTCTTGTCCAGTGCAGCTGCTGTTGACCAAAACACACTAATAACTTGTAGCCTTCATATAAGATCATCATTATTTTCATCAACAGATTGCTGAAAAAAATAGCACAGTGCTATCCTCCAGCGTATACACAATACAATTTACAAAATTAGTACAATTTGTGCTAAACAAAACAATATAAAAACATATGGTGCAAACCCTTTAGAAGTCCAAAAAATAAAGTTCATACATCAAGTGCTCAGTGTTGCATGGTATGTCCCATGAGTACAAAAGATACAAATATTTACCCCATGTCCGTGTGTAAGTGTTCACTTCAAGGTGATCCCTCGATGACTTTTTATTTTTAATTTTATTCCTTGCATCAACAAGAGTCTAACAAGAGCCTGGTATATCCCAGATATGGAGGGTTCCAGTAATCCCAAAATCCCCCAGCACTATTACTAAAGCAGCTTCAAAGTACTCGTGTTAAGGAGAAGCATACATAATAGGCACAGAGAAAAACCGAGCAAAACTGTGTCATATTGTTTATTAGGATAAAAGATATAAAACCAATTCATTCACAATATGTAAAACCAGAAAGAGCCACCTGGCATGCATTCCAAATGGTGGAGATTACTTCAATAGATGCCTGCCCAACACGTTTCGTCATCAAAAATGGACATTCTCAGTGTCGCAACCTGAGTATTTTAGATTGCTTTAAAAAAGATATGTAGCCATGACAAATCTCTGCTACAAATTGGCTAATGTGGCATGCCCCAATTCCCACCCACTCTATAGTGCCCTGATGCCTGTGTGACTCTCTTAAAGAATAACTGTACTTTCATACAATTATGATTTAAAGGACTCCCTCCCCCATTATCTGCCTCACAGTCTTATACCTACGAGTCCACAATCCTTGTTGATTTACACTGTGGACACACAGCTGCCCCTGGAAACTCTCTCAGCCAGTCCTGAAGTCTTCTGCCCTTGTGCAGACTAAATCCCTATCATTCCTATGAAGAGGCCATATGTCATGTGACCTATTCCCATAGCAATGAATGGAATTTATCTGGACATATGCAAAAGATTTTGGGATGGGCCAGGGGAGTTTTCAGTGGCGACAGTGTAGTTCTCTGCAAGCTACAGAACATTAATCTGCCAGGATTGTAAACTTGAACGAATAAAACCATGGATGAGGTAGTAATTTTAGGGACAACTTTACAAAAATTTAGTGTGTTCCTGTAATGAATAATCTTCAAAATTATTTTGCACATGTACTACCAGTGAGCTGTTTATGAACATTGGAGCAATAAAAACTATTGTGGTTTGGCCAAAAAATTTCAGCCTGTAGTTGTTGGTTATGACCACTTGAACCACATCTGTATGACTGTCACACAGAGAAGCCTCAAACTCACAGTGATTTTTTGTTTCTTGGAAACCAGAGCTTGCAGCTTCATCACATCTAATGATTGACCTTCATAACATCTGATGAATGACCATCTAGATTTGATCCCTAATTAGCTAAATGAAATTTAAAGGTGCCTGATGTAGACTCACTTAATTAATGTTTCCTACAGCTCTTGGAGGTAAATAAGCAGTGGGATCAGCAGTTCCGTTCTATGAAGTTGCAATATGAAGAGAAGGTATTTTGTTATTATAGTTATACCCATGCTATTTCCAATGTAACCTATAGGTTAATTAATCTGTAGGGAGGTGATACAATGCCTTGTGACTGGAAAAATACATTTTTGTTCCTGGGTTTAACCAGTGGTGTATAGCACAGATACAGTCTAATATTATACAGCCATTTATTCAAAACTTCATACAGCTGTGTCAGGTTTTTTGGTCCTAATTAATGCAATGTATGAAAACCATTTAATAAATAAAAGCCCAAGGATGATCATTTTGTAACAGTCCCCTGCTCTATATGATATAATACATTGCAGCAATATTTGGAAAATTATAATAGCAAGAGGAGAAATTTAAACAGACTTTTATTTATTAGTGGTCAGTGAAGAAATGCCTTCCTACGTTCGTATTCAATGAAAGGTCCACTTACTTTGTGGCCAATGAGAGAGGTATTTCTTTACATTGCTGGTCAGTAGAAAGATACCTTGTACGTTATGTTCCGTGAGAAAGGTACAACATTACGCCTATGTTCAGTTAGAGGAAGAATGACACTGATGATTATGGCTTACAGCTCATGAAAACCCCAAATCCATAATCTCAGAAAATTATAATATTGTGAAAAGGGGCAATATTCTAGGCTCAAAGTGTCCCACTCTAATCAGGTAATTAAGCCATAACAGCTGCAAAGGGTTCCTGAGCCTTTAAATGGTCTCTCAATTTGGTTCAGTAGGAATCACAATCATAGGAAAGACTGCTGACCTGACAATTGTGCAGAAAACCATCATTGACACCCTCCATAAGGAGGGAAAGCCTCAAAAGGTAATCGCAAAAGAAGTTGGATGTTCCCAATGTGTTGTATCAAAGCACATTAATAGAAAGTTATGTGGAAGGGAAAAGTGTGGAAGAAAAAGGTGCACAAGCAGCAGGGATGACCGCAGCCTGGAGAGGATTGTCAGGAAAGGCCATTCAAAAGTGTTGGACTTTCACAAGGAGTGGACTGAAGCTGGAGTCCGTGCATCAAGAGCCACCACAAACAGACGGATCCTGGACATGGGCTTCAAATGTCGTATTCCTCTTGTCAAGCCGCTCCTGAACAACAAACAACGTCAGAAGCGTCTTACCTGGGCTAAAGAAAAACAGACCTGGTCTGTTGCTCAGTGGTCCAAAGTCCTCTTTTCTGATGAGAGCAACTTTTGCATCTCTTTTGGAAACCAAGGACCCAGAGTATGGAGGAAGAATGGAGAGGCACACACTGCAAGATGCTTGAAGTTCAGTGTGAAGTTTCCACAGTCTGTGTTGATTTGGGGAGCGGTGTCATCTGCTGGTGTTGGTCCACTGTGCTTCATTAAGTCCTTGGTCAACGCAGCCTTCTACCAGGAGATTTTGGAGCACTTCATGCTTCCTTCCACAGACAAGCTTTATGGGGATGCTGACTTCATTTTCCAGCAGGACTTGGCACCTTCCCACACTGCCAAAAGCACCAAAACCTGGTTCAATGACAGCGGGATTACTGTGCTTGATTGGCCAGCAAACTCACCTGACCTGAACCTCATAGAGAATAGAGAATATGGGGCATTGCCAAGAGAAAGATGAGACATGGGACCGAACAATGAAGAAGAGCTGAAGGCCACTATTGAAGCTACCTGGTCTTCCATAACACCTCAGCAGTGCCACAGGCTGATAGCTTCCATGTCATGCCGCATTGAGGCAGTAATTGTTGCAAAAGGGGCCCAAACCAAGTACTGAGTACATATGCATGCTTATACTTTTCAGAGGTCTGATATTGTTCTATGTACAATTCTTGTTTTATTGATTGCATATAATATTCTAATTTTCTGAGATTGCGGATTTGGGGTTTTCATGAGCTGTAAGCCATAATCATCACAATTATGACAAATCACGGCTTGAACTATCTTGCTTTGCATGTAATGAGTCTATCTCATATATTAGTTTCACCTTTTAAGTTGCATTACTAAAATAAATGAACTTTTGCACGATATTCGAATTTTTCGAGTTTCACCTGTATATATTTATTTATGTATATTCTTATGGATTTTATGTTTACCGAGTGCAAGACAAATTGGAAAGAATGTATCATCTCATCAGGGCTTATTTGGAAAAAAAACCCTTTACAGTGGTAGTCAGAATGCCATCCTTACAGACAGCCAAAAACATCATTGGTATTCTCTTTCTGGTATCGTCAAGTGGTGTTGACCCAAGAACTATTCAAGCACCATCAGATGGGGGAATCAATCAACCCCAGTAACCTCCTGTATGGAGTAAGGCTTGAAGGCCAATGAGAAAGTATTATCCTTATGGCTATGGCCTGAAAAGGACTAAATAAAGGAATAAATCTATCTATCTACAGTAGATGTACATCATTTAATAAACAGTCTTTCATAAGAACTGCCTTTGCTGTCTCAGCTATCATTTGGGCTGTCATTCTTCAGCTCTGATTTTGCAGTTATCGCGAGACAGCAGAGATTCATATGAGGATGAGATTGAAAACTAAGCGTATTCATTGTAATATGAAAATTATGGTCTGGGAGATTGTTCTTTAAATTTGGGCAAATGCTTGCAAACCCTTGCTCAAGATTAGTGTCCTGTTCTCACTATATTATTCTAATACTGGTCACCACAGATCACATCCCTGCGTCAGAAGTTGTCTCAAGCCACCAAGAATGAAGGTGAACAGGAAGCAGAAAGAGACCGCAAGCAGAGGGATTTTGATCGCAAGCTCCTTCTTGCTAGGGACAAACTAGAAGAGAAAGAGGTAAGATATAATGACCTAGAAATAATTTCTGGATTAATAATTATTTTACTAGAAGTGCCTAACATTTCCCTTAGCTATTCTCTGTTGAATCTTCACCTTTACAAGTAGGGCCCTGTGCTCACTGGTATATGAATACCCTTATGTAGCAGCTGCTGTGAGTAGACTATAGATGTGTTTTAGGCCATGAGATGGCCTGGTAAATTGCAGACATGTTTGGTCAGAAAACCCAAGTCCTGAGTAGGTAGATTATGTCCCTTGTACATTTCAAGGCAGCATTTTTCATTTTTACTGAAGTGTACTTTTAATACTGGCACTTTGGTGAAGGTTTCAAAAAGCATCTGAGGTGCATCCATGTAAACCATCGTACTTGTGTCTTTTAAAATTTGTGTTCACCAGAGTGAACAATTATCCTGATGGTACAAACTATGTTTTCCAAGCCATGGCAGGTAAGAAATGATAGACTCATAAGAGGGAGGTACAGCTCATTCTGAATGGAAAATTAATTAAATGCTTCCTCTATTTATTTGTGTAATGTAGAAGTCTGTTATGGAGTTGTGTCTCCAGTAGACGTGAGACTCCTTCACCGTGTGCCTACAGTGAACAAAATAATTATTTGATCCCCTGCTGATTTTGAATGTTTGCCCACTCACAAATAAATGACCAGTCTAAAAATCGAATGGTAGGTGTATTGTAACACTGAGAGAAAGAATAGCAACAACAATTCAAAAGAAATGCATGTCTAACAAATTATGCACTGATTTGCATGTTCATGGGGGAACACGCACGCAAGGTGAGATCTTGCATGGTGCACCAGACCTAGGGAGACTGACAGTTGTTTTGTGTTTCTTCCATTTGCGAATAATTGCACCAACTGTTGTCACCTTCTCACCAAGCTGCTTGGCGATAGTTTGGTAGCCCAGTCCAGCCCTGTGTAGGTCTACATTCTTGTCCCTGAAATCCTTGGACAGCTCTTTGGTCTTTGCCATGGTGGAGAGTTTGGAATCTGATTGTTTGATTGCTCCTGTGGACAGGTGTCTTTTATACAGGTAACAAAATTAGATTAGCAACACTCCCTTTAAGAGGCTGCTTCTATTCTCAGCTTGTTACCTGTATGAAAGACACCTGGAAGCCAGAAATCATGCTGAATGATAGGGGATCAAATACTTATTTCCCTCATGAACATGCAAATCAGTGCATAATTTGTTAGACATACATTTCTTTTGATTTTTTTGTTGCTATTCTGTCTCTCAGTGTTACAACACACCTACAATTCGATTTTTAGACTGATCATTTCTTTGTGAGTGGGCAAACATTCAAAATCAGCAGGGGATCAAATACTTATTTCCTTCACTGTAAAAGGTACATTTGCAGTGACTTTTGTGTTTGGTATACATCACCTAATATCCGTATCTAATGATTGGATCTTAGCATTGTGAGTGGATAGGCTTCTATATTACCAGGGATTTTACAAGCAACCCCTATGTCTATTCTACTAATTCCATCCAAAGAGAAAGTAATTCAGAGGAGGCTTGTGGTGTGCGGACTGACTACATGGCAGTTCCTGAATCAAAACCACAATTCATTTATTTATGCTAGTCCTTTATATAGCACCTACATATAGTGAAAGACTTTGTTAACAACACAAAGCTCAAATCACTTCCTGAACCAGAAGAAAGTTGGGATCTGATGTCTGGTCCACATTCTGATAATAGTAGTATTTTTTCTTTTATGCAACAGATCTAACGTACTGTTTTCTCTATCTCCGCAGTCACAAATCCAGAAACTGGAGTCTGACGCAAGAGATCTGAAGCAAAAGAATAAGTTTCTCCATGACCAGCTGAGCTCCACCAGCAAGCAGCGAGAGTACCAGGAACGGGAGATCAGCCGACTGAATAAGGTAAGCTCACCATAGATACTAATGGCTGATTCAGACTGGTCCGATGTACTTGTACGCTCTTGTATTAAAAGAGGTATAGACTCCAGAGAGAGAGATATCATATTACCCCGGTACAAATCATTAGTAAGACCTCATCTGGAATATGCAGTTCAGTTTTGGGCACCAATTCACAAAAAGAACATTGGGGAACTGGAGAAAGTATAGAGAAGGGCAACCAAACTGATAAGAGGCATGGAGGAGCTCAGCTATGAGGAAAGATTTGAGGAACTGAATTTATTCTCTCTTGAGAAAAGATTAAGGGGGGATATGATCTCCATGTATAAATACATCAGTGGTACATATAGTGAACTCGGTGTAGAGCTATTCACCCTGAGGTCATCACAGAGGACAAGGGGGTACTCTTTACGTCTGGAGGAAAAGAAATTTAATCTCCAAACATGGAAAGGTTTCTTCACAGTGAGAGCTGTGAAAATGTGGAATAGACTCCCTCAAGAGTTGGTTCTGGCCAGCTCAGTGGATTGCATCAAAACAGGCCTGTATTCTTTCTTAGATACACAGAATATAACTGGCTACTAACATTTATAGGTAAAGTTGATCCAGGGAACATCCGATTGCCTCTCAGGGGACCAGGAGGGAATTTTTTTCCCAGCAGGAGCAAATTGGATTATATTTTACTGGGGGGGTTTTTGCCTTCCTCTGGATCAACTGTGGGTGTAGGATTATAACTTTTTCTTTTTTTTTTTTAAATGGTTGAACTGGTTGGACTTTTGTCTTTTTTCAGCCAGACTAACTATGTAACTTGCTGTGTTATTGCACACTCGATGGAGTGCAGCATTTCATGTGTTACCATACACTGTGTTGAGGCAGCCCATTCACTATTTTTTTTCACACAATCTTTTCAACAGGGACCTAACAACAGTAAAAACTTGACGGCTGTGCAACCACTGACCCAAGCTATTCAAAGCTTGAAAAATCCACTTTTTAATATTTGCACATAATATATAAATAATTTATAAACATGTCTAAATATCATGATTGGGCTTAGTCCGTAAAACAGGGCATAGAGCAGTCATCCGCAACAACTGACATCAATTTACTGCAATTATTGAAAGAATATTTTCAACTAGTTCTTTGTGGGGTTATTGTATTTTGTACAGTTTTTTATTGTATTTTACTCTGCTCATTGTAAAACCCAGATTAACTATTTCAACAAAAGCTGGTGAATGTTCTGACTTTTTTTATGTTGTTTGTAGGCCCTTGAGGAAGCTCTAAAACTTCGCGACTTGGGCCCTCATTCGCCCTCATTCTCTGCCTCTGGAGAGGACACTTTGTTTCTGCAACGACAAGAACTCCTAACCCAGAATGACCTTCTCAAGCAACAGGTACTTATAATTATAGATTAGATCAGAGTTCAGCTTTACAGAGTCACATCTGCTGCTCTTCAAGTCCAGTAATTTTCTAGCGTCTATAAACGCAGACTGAAATGGTCAGCCTGGCCAAGGAAGTTTCATATGTGTGTGCTCTGTTTTGATATTGACTGATGTGTTTACTCCAAGTACTTTGATTGTTAAGCCGTTAGTCAGGCTTGCTATTTGTTTCTGGCACTTGAATTATGTGGCCATTTTCTAAGATAAATGTGTGGTACTGGTAATCCAGCCTGTCTGTTTAATGGGAACCAATGACAAGAGTAGAAAAAGAAATACATCTTTGATGTCAGAGCTTCCTAGTGAAGCTGTGTAATAATGTGTCTTTAAAGCTGAACTCCAAGCAGATCTAAGATCCAGGCTGGTATGTTTAATGGGATTCAATTGAAGGACATCTTAAAAATACAAATAAATATCTAGACCAACAAGTGTCCAGTATAACAAAATAACAAAACTTTGTCAGCAAATTGCCAATAGAAAGAAACAGTAGACACAGTTTCACAGGAAATCAACATTGGTCTTAAAGTAGAGTTATAGGCAAAACTTTTTTTTTGTAATTTTGGTTAGAGTAAGGGAGGATTAAAACCCCTGTCAGTTTTATTTTTTGCTATATGTGTCCCAACGGGGAGATTTACCTTCACTTCCTGTTAGCCAAAACAGGAAGTGAGAGGAAATCCCTGGAAATTAAAGGGAACTCCTTGGGGACTCCCAGGTCTCCAGAACTAGTGTTCACATTGGATGATTTCCCCCCTATTACTTTTCTGAGGGCAACCCAAAATGTGTGGTTTCTTATACTTTTACTTTCGGTAATAAAGGTAAACAGAATAAAGAGTGACTCTCTCTCACAGGGGCACAGACAGCAATAAAAACTGACAGGTGTTCTAATCTATCTCCACTCTGTTCAAAACTAAAAACAATGTTTAGCCTTTAGTTATACTTTAAGGCATATAAGGTCAACATCCCTCATTGTTCAGGCATATAAGGCTCAAGGCAAAAAAGGGAGACAATTCGAAGGAGAAAGAAAAAAAGAATGGAGAAAAGAGAACTACAAGTAAATTCCAAATAAGAGAAAAGAACAGGTCTGAGTAAGAAAAGTTGCTTCGCCCAACTTGACGTCCAACTCCCCTGATAGGCCACTCCGCCAGATGGGTGATTATAAATATGTAATCCAGAGTTTCCAAGTTTTATCAAATTTAGCTTGTCTGTCACAGAGAATGCTAGCTAATTTTTCATGTAACATTATACCGGACAGTTTATGATTTAGTTGTAGCAATGTCCACCACAGGAGATTTCCAAGCTTTCGCAATGAACATTTTTGTGGCTAGTAGTATGTTGAAGATAAGAGATTGGGTATGCTTAGGGATGTCATCCGCCAAGTCATTGAGGAGCGCTGTTTGGTATTTTGGTAGGTTTAACAGAGGTCACAGAATAAATCGGAGTATACGCTCTGATCCAGAAGAGGTTGATTTCCGAGCAGGTCCACCAAATATGGTACATAGTCCACTCCTGTCTGCATCCTCTGAAACACAAAGGAGAAGCATCAGGGTACATTTTAGGGAGTCTCACTGGCACCAGCAAGACAGGACCTTGTAGTTCGCCTTGACCAAAGTGGTACTGAGGATCCCCTTGTGCACCATTGAATACCATCTAGACCAGTCCTCCACTTCTGTTTCTCTTTCAAGGTCCCGATCCCAGGCCACCTGATAGGGTAATTTTGTCACAGGTTCAGAGAGAAAAAGGTACATTACTGGTATACCTCCTCTCAAGTCAGTATCTCATATACACTTGTCCTCAGAGTGTCCTCAACAATAGTTAATTTTAAGGCGTTTTCTTCCAAATGCGATGCTGGATTGCGTAAAAAGCACACAGTCACCTTGGCAAAGATGGAAAGATGTGGTTATATGATATAACTAACTTGGCATGACCTATATCCCTTTATTACACAAAGGATTAGCTGTTAGTGATATTTCCAGTTCTGGAGTTACTGGGAAATGACCTAGCCAATCTACTTAGTAACTTAGTTAACAAAGCATGCCTGAATTACACCACTTTACATCCTCAACAACTGGGAATGTACAGCCTAGAAGATAAACCCCATCACCTTCTACCTTCTACCTGCTCCACGCGTCCCCTTCAATATACCATAACACATGACACGCACTCCATGGGATATTGAAAGCACTCATAGTTCAAGAGATGTGTGTGCTCATTGTGAAAGTTAATAATCTAAAAGGTCTAAGAGGATTGTGGAATCTGATACTTGCAGATAACATTGAGAGTCATAAATAATATCCACAATAAATTAAATATAAAAATATTGTTTTTATACTTACGCAGCTTGATATAATTTATCGAATGAATGAATGAGACATTGTTTGCAAATGGCAGGGTAGATACTAACTTAAAGTAGGCTCAAACCATAACTCAAATTAAATTTGCTAAAGCACTGATTAAACACTTGCCATTTTTTGAATACTTGTTTTTACCTTTTTTCATTCTTTGCTGCATCTCAGTGCTGCTCGTCTCCTGCAATCTCAGTGCAGACATTTGCTGTCTACATACACTCCAGTGATGGTTTCATTGCATTTCTCAGGGTGCATTTGCTGATGGTCGCAATAGTGGTCCATGCTCACAAAATAGGCCACTTGTAGTTTCCATCGGAAGCCAAAGAGTGAATTGTACTTAGTGGGTCAGTTGACTCATGCACTTGTATTTTGAGAAGGATGTAACTGTTTGTGAGATATTCTCTAAAGAACTGCACCAAATCAAGGTAAATTGTATAAACAAGTTGCTATGAGTTATTGTGCTTTTGAATTCTCACTTTTTAAGAAAAACTAACATTGTAATGTTTGCTAATTTGGAATTGTTGAGAGCACTCTTTGGTGTCCGTTTCTACAGGGAGCTAATACCACTACACATTCTCCATAATACTCAACCCATTCATACAAGGTCACAGTGTGGAGTCTGCAGAGCCCAAAGGAGATTTATCTGCCTAACTCTGCAGAGATAGCTCCGTGAATGGAGGAAAGCTGGTTATGTGACTTATGTTTCTGCCTTTCATCTTCTACCCTGCAATAGCAACATAAAGGCAATAAATCCTATAAGTATCTTTTGGTTCTCACATTCATGTTTTGTATCAAGGTGACCATCTTTGAAGAAGATTTCAAGAGGGAGCGCAGCGACCGGGAACGTATGAATGAAGAAAAAGAGGAGCTGAAGCGACAGCTGGAACAGCTTCAATCACAATTGGCTCAGGCAAAATCCCAGGTGATCTATATGGCTACAGTACATGCCAAATACAGGTTTTCTTATGCTCGCCTAAAGCATTGTTACCACTTAAAGGGTTAGTCCTTCTAAACTAATCAGTTAGTTGCTTGTCTCTCATAAAACTCCCTTGTCAACTGTCCCTACAGAACAATACTTGTAGATCTACCAGTGATCCAGTGAGCTTCTAATTTTTCTGTTTGAGTTGATCACACTGCCTTGCTTGTACTGACAACCAAAACAGAATCGTTAGCCCTCCCTAGTTCTACTGTGCTGTACTACAGAACACCTTCCATGTCTTCATCCTGCAAAGTTAGAGGGAGGCATTCTGTAGTTACACACGTGATAACATAGGTAAGACTGATAACAAAGCTTGGGATTTCAGTGCAGCAGAGGCAGCTTTGTCAGCGCAATATAGAAGGCGAGGAGTTCACTGAATTTCTGACATTTTCACCTGAGCAAATGTGCATTTACTGTAGAGATGTACTGAATATGTTTTTGTTTTTTTTTCCCCACACATCCTATATAATATATGATTTCTAAATTCTACTTCCAATTGGCCACTGTGCAAATCAGGCTCTTCTGTTCCTTCCCCAGTCACATCACACCTCCAGCACCCAGATTGTTTCTCCTGTATCTCTCCCCCAGCACCCAGTATTTCCCCGCATCCATCTGCTAGCACATACACATTGGTCTTTCCCTTGTATCCATTCTCTAGCACACAAACATTAGTCTTTCCCCTGTATCTCTCCTTTATCACACACAGATTGGTTTTCCCCTGTATCCCTCCTCCAGCACACACAAATTGGTTTTCCCCAGTATCCCCCTCCTCCAGCACACACACACATTGGTCTTTCCCTTTTATCCCACCTTCAGCACACACACATTGGTCTTTCCCTGTATCCCTCCTCAGCCAGCATACACACATTAGTCTATCCCTGTATCCCTCCTCAAGCATACACACATTGGTCTTTCCCTGTCTCCCTCCTCCAGCATACACACATTGGTCTTTCCCTGTTTCCCTCCTCCAGCATACACACATTGGTCTTTCCCTGTATCCCTCCTTCAGCACACACATTTTCATCTTTCCCCTTTATCCCACCTCCAGCATACACACATTGGCCTTTCCCTTGTATCCTTCCTTCAGCACACATACATTGGCCTTTTCCTTGTAATCCTCTTCCGACACACATATTGGTCTTTCCCTGTATCCCTCCTCCAGCACACAGACACATTGGTCTTTCCCTGTATCCCTCCTCCAGCATACACACATTGGTCTTTCCCTGTATCCCTCCTCCAGCATACACACATTGGTCTTTCCCTGTATCCCTCCTCCAGCACACAGACACATTGGTCTTTCCCTGTATCCCTCCTCCAGCATACACACATTGGTCTTTCCCTGTATCCCTCCTCCAGCATACACACATTGGTCTTTCCCTGTATCCCTCCTCCAGCACACAGACACATTGGTCTTTCCCTGTATCCCTCCTCCAGCACACAGACACATTGGTCTTTCCCTGTATCCCTTCTCCAGCACACAGACACATTGGTCTTTCCCTGTATCCCTCCTCCAGCACACAGACATTGGTCTTTCCCTGTATCCCTCCTCCAGGACACAGACATTGGTCTTTCCCTGTATCCCTCCTCCAGGACCCAGACATTGGTCTTTCTTTGTATCCCTCCTCCAGCATACACACATTTGTTTTTCCCTGTGTCCCTCCTCCAGCACACAGACATTGGTTTTTCCCTCTGTCCCTCCTCCAGCACACATACATTGGGGTTTTCCCTCCTTCAGCACACTCGTTTCAGTTTCTTCTCTGGAGGTGTCTGCAGTCACACACTCCCACCCCACAAATTACATATTGAACACTGCCCATGCTGTCCCCTAAGACATTGCACACTGAGCCCAGGCACACAACCTTGAGTTTCAGCTCTAAGGGTGATGCCCAGTTCAGCAGCCCCATTCCCACTTATGCAGAAATAAAGTCTCTCATTACTGTCCCATTGTCTCTCCTGCGTATATAGCCCACTGTCATACCCTCCACACTCCTCTTCTGCATATTCAGCCACAAAGTCTATTTATTATATTCCCACCTTTTCCTGTTATTGAATAGGCACCCTTTTGCTAGTATACTTTTAAAATGTTTGTTATTGGGGGCAGAAGAAAAATGGTCCACATTACTAATAAAGATTATGTAAAACATCTTGTATGCCTTTCTTTTCAGTTGCGCTCTTGTCCAGAGGATTCGCGACAGAAGAGAGATTGCTCACGTGACCTGACAAGGCAACAGGTAGACTGTTTTCACTGTTACATAGACAGAAAGCACTTGCTGGGATATTGGTGGCAGCCATATTTGTATATTACAAATACAGGCTTACTGCTGAATAGAACAGCACATTGACTGTGCTTTACTGTTCCACTCCCTCAATGCAAGTCTCAGATGGTGTTTGGCAGGGAAACTGACTACACTTTTGATACACTAGTACCTACAAAAGATCAATATACATAGCTATGTATGAGATAAAGTCATTCACATATAAAACCGCATATATATAGACATTTGAATTCTGCATCAAAATGCTCAGTTTAAATTAAAGTGTTACTAAACCCACAACAGTAAAATCAGTCTGTATATGTAGTAAAGCATGCTTCTCATACTCACTGTGGAACCTAAGGGGTTAATCCTCTGTATTGTGTAAAAAGGCTGTTTGATCCTTTCTTCTCTGTTCCTCCCCTTTTTCAAGCGACCACCACTTATCTCCAGACTGAACCGCAGGCATACACACGCTCAGTTTGGTGTATATTGCTAAATTGTTTTTTTTTTCTTGGGAGAGTGCAGGTGATCAGCACAGGGCCAATCAGACAGAGGTCAGGGGATTTCCATCCTCCTAGAGCAGAAAGAAAACTCTTCCTACAAGCTTTAGCTAGTGCTGGGCTGGATAGTGATAGAAGCCACAAGACTGCTCTAGCTGTTAATGAGAAAAGGTATTTAGCAGTCTATATTTACTAAAATAATTGCACTTATATGTTATGTGTACTGTGGGAGACCAGATATAGTGGATGTAACACTTTAGGCTCAGTTTACATGTAAAACCTGTATTTGGGCTTTAAATTCTGCACTATTTCTTAATAAAATCACTGATTAGATGGAATTCACTGATTAAATGGAATGCTCTCACCTTAAAATATGGAAGGCAGCACGGGCTGGATTAATGTGAACAAGAGCCCCCTCTTTGGAATATATATATGTGCTTATACTTCCAAGCTGTCTTTATGGTAACTTACTTACGTTGGGTCTGGATGGTTCCCCATTGGGAAGTTGGTCCTTCTATTTTAAGATTGTGTATACAAGTTCAATTTGCTGTTTACTTAATGTACCTAAATTTCCCACTGGAGAGGCAATGGCCTCACCTTGGTCTACTCATTTGCACCTCTATGGGCAACATGCACATGCAATGAATTCTAGTCTACCCTACTGATTTATATTACTCTTTTAAAGATTAGGAGTGGGTTCCAGTGTACTGATTCTGTCACATGATCTCCTGAAGAAGGATTCCTGAAACTTGTCGAGTTGTGCATTGTATTCAGAATCTTTGCATGTTGTGAATTCCTATGTGGAGAGTAATGTTTAATGTTGTGTGAAAGATTTTTAATGGTACATAATAAAGTTGTGTTTAAGGTACTCATTTTCTCTTCTATATGCCCATGCGAAGTGCAAGACTACATATTTTGTTCATAGTTGTACAACATTAAAAGAAAAGTATGACCAAAGTTTCTTTGGCCATACTTTTCCTTTGGGTGACAGAGATGCCCTTACTTTTGCTTTTCTGGGACCCAGAGCCAGCTTATAGGGAGCTATAGCCCGCTGTCAACTGACATCACAGACCTGCTCCAGCCCAATAATATTCTCGGGATTCACACAACTGCCTGATTAACAGCTGATTCCAGCTCTCAATGCATAGCTGAGAACCAGAGTCATCTGCTCCTGCCCCCTCTCCAGCAAGGTGCTCCAGTGTGCGCTGTAGGGGCAGAGTGGAGAGCTGTGACTGACAATCACTGCTCTCTGCTTGGAGCAGACCAAGAGCTAAGCGGTCATGTAGTCACTCTAATCTGCCTTAGAGCTGACATGGGATAGGTGCAGCATCACATCAAAGCTGCAGCGTAGAGATGAGTATGTATGTTTGTTTTTTTTTTAGTTCCCATACTTCTCCTTTAAATGCTATATCATCTGGTATTTCCTCCAAAATGTGATGTTTGTATCTTCTGGAATCATTACTTAAGGGCAGGGGCCAGCAGTTAATAAATATTCACCTCATCTTACTGACTTGGAACTGTGAACCCAATAATCTGCTGATCTGGCGTGTTTGTGCCCTCTGAAACATCTGTGAAATGACCTAATATATTTTTATTATTGTAGGGATTGAACCAAACCTTCCTGTGACTCCGTTAATATTTGCTAGGATGTACCCTAAACTCTAACTAATGTGAACTGCATCCCAGTAATCCTCATAGCTAGTTGTGTGTTGTGTTGCCTCTTAAAGGTGAATGTGTGCTAAGCTGGAGTGAAAACAGACATTTTGGTGGATTTTGAAGCATAAGCTCACTCAGAATGTCTCTGCTAGAGAGCCAAGCTCCTGTATGTTTGCTTGCGCTACTAGCACAGGAGTATTTGTGCAGATATTTTGATGCATGAAGATTTTGTAATAAAAGCCAGCATCTGTATACGCTGAAAAGCATAAAGTAATGAAAGCCTACCATACCCAAAGAGAATAATTCTTAAAAAATACACAAAAATTGCACACATTTAGAGGACAAGTCTCCTTCCTCAGATCAGAAACTTATATACACAAAGTAAAGAGCAAACTGCAAGCTGATGGGAAAGAACCAAAATGGGTAACCACCTAAAAAGAGTGTACAGAATGGCCAGTCCCTAGTAGACGGAATCCCAGGGTCCACTACAGAACTAATAAAGCATTCTGGACTCTCAACCTTTGATTTTTCCCTGCTGTTGTATTCTTCTGCTTTGAGTTGTTACCTTGGTACCCACTGGGGTCATTGGCAATGAGCAGCTGTACTGGAGCCAGTGTTCCCTGAATTAGTGTACTTTCTTTACTTCTTTACAATGATGTAATTGAAGTCCCAGTGCTAACAACATGGGCTTTCTGTGGAGGCATAAATGGGTAATTCGACAGAGAGAGAGAGAGACTCCTTAGTAAAGGCTATAGCAGATGAGGGCATCTGAGGACCTTGGTAAAGAGCAGCCGCTACTACCTCTGAGCCTCATAAGAAGCTGGTGGTTGATTCAATCTGAAGCTTGTAAGTTTCAAAGAAATAAGTGACGTTACTGGGACATCAGTATTTATGACAATTAAATTGGAGCTCTGATTGGGTTGAACTGTTAGGACACCTTTTCATTTCTAAAAGTTCTTCTCTAAAGGCCGCTCCCAACAACATCTTATCACCTCTTTATATAAGCTACTTCTCAATAAAGATTCTCTTGTTGAGAGGCCTCACCGTTATATGAAGAGATGGGAGGATGAACTCCAATGCTCAATTTCTTTAAAATGTTGGCAGGGGATATGGGATTCTGTTGCTAAGACCTCTCGTTGTGTTGTATATAAAATATTCTGTAAAAAGTAAATATGCGAGCGCTATCTGAAAGAAAAATAGCCGCTGAAACACCTAAAAAGGCAACCAACCTTCCAATGCAAATCTCAATATGAAGGTAGGTAGGTGAGTAAAGTGCAAAAAAAGTCCCAGATGTATTGCCCACGTGAGGATCCTGTATGATCCCGATAAGCATGCGTGGAGAGTTAGTCCCAGTGGCAGATGTTCAATGTAAATGAAATGCGCACTCACCAGAAGTGCGTGTTTACATCTGGGACTTTTTTTGCACTTTACTCACCTATTGGTGACATCATTTATGCACATTTATTTGTTTATTTTCTTGATTGATCTGATATTGCTGATTATCTATACCTACATACTGAGTATATGTTATCGATTTATTCATGCTGCACATTTTTTAAAACTGCATCTTCTCATTTCTTTATAATAATGATGAGATTTATGCTGCATATTTAGTTTTTAGTGCTGCACCTTCATATTGAGAAGTATATAAAATATTGATGCATTGGTACAAGACCCCTGTAGTGCTTCATGCAATCAACCCAAATCTGTCTGACAAGTGCTGGAGGTGCATGGGAGGAGTAGGTACCTTGGCACACATCTTTTGGTTTTGTCCACAGATTGCAGGTTATTGGGCTATAGTTAGAAAGGTATTGGAACAAGTACTCAATGTTACCCTAATCCTTAGACCCGCTACACTATCTTTTGGGGCTACCCTTTAGGGGTATCCCTAAGCAATCTAAGAGGTTGGGAATGCATATTTTGACAGCCGCTAGAAGGGTGATACCACGACGATTTTAAAAATCAGTTGATGTTCCCATGCTAAATCATCTCTTAAGAGCGATCTCTGAAATCAGGGAAATGGAATATCTTACAGCTCTAGTGGGTGAACACTCAGGTCACTTTTGCTCTATTTGGGAGCTATGGGATCATTCTCCCTTTGGTAGACTTCCTTCCTCTCCCCCTCTTCCCCCACCCCCTTTATATAGTCCAGACACTTTTCCAGGTAACATGCCTTTGACAAATAATGTAACCTAATGATATGCAGGTTTATGTTGATTTATGCTTTTATAGTGTGCAGATTACCATGCTGTCGATTTATGTTCATATTTCTCCTGATTTTATTTTCTTTTATACTGATGATGGTTTTTTTCATTACAACGTTTACATCTAAAAGTGTTGCTGTTGTAACTATGTTCTAAAAAAAAGGGCACTGGCCCTTAATAAAAATGTACAATATTAAAAAAAACAATTCTTCTCATCACACTCCATTTTAAAACACTTTCCATCTAAAGCTAGAAATCAAGGGCTGTAAAATACCAAAATAATCTGTTAAGACCCATCACACCATAGCTTATGACTTGGCCAGTGAGCAGAATTGGCACTGTTGGGATTGTAGCATGCAGGTCAAACTAGACAGATCAATGAACTCCCCATTCACATGGATGGAGGAATTTCCCCTGCCAGCTATTGCATTTTGACAGCTGATACCCGCTGCTGTCTGAAGACTTGAACAGTGATTGCATTGGATGCAGTCAATGTTTGGTCAGCAATTTTCCACCAAGCTCCTATGATTTTTCATTTGACTTTTGTGAAGCATTGGGTCTCAACAGGACCATCTGCAGCTCCAATTTGGCTTTTAAGTCCAAGCATTACTCACATTTTCTACTAAACGTTTCTCTGCCCTTGTGGAGTTTGCCTTAGCATTATATATTTTTTTTTGTTCTTAAACGGAAAAACAGCTTTTATTACTTCCTGAGAAATCATCTTCAGGCTTGCAGATGATACTACTGGGAACACAGTTCCTATTAACATAGAGACTCCCCAGAACTGCATTACATCTCTACAGTGTGTGGGCAGGCTCTTGGGAGTCAAGAAATGTATGCATGGGTAATGGGACAGACAGGGGCAGGAGTTAGGCGTTCAGTAGACCAGCAGGCAAGGCTGACAACGGTGGTTGGGTATTCAGTTAAGCTAAAGCCACTGTGTTGTCAGCCTAAACAGGAATTTAGGCTCACTCTGTATATCCATCAGATGAACTGGAATTTTTCTATATTAGCAATGATGCAAATTGGGGAAATGCACGTGTTGCAAACATGTCATTTTTGTTTCCTCAATAGATACTTTTAACCCCATTGCTTGAATGACCCCTGTACTCCTTTATGCCTCTTTTCTATAAGGCAGCTTATTTTAAAAATGTCCTGATCCCTTCTTTCTCCTTTACATTTATAATCGGATTCATTTAGTAGTCTTAGCAGCACAGTAAGGGGTCACACTCCCCTGCACAAAGATTTATTGACACAGAGAGCGGAGTCAGTGAGTCATTGCCTCTGCGTCATCTTGGCTGCATTAATGAAACTGTACAGAGCTCAGCTGCAATTATACTTATGATGAATAGAGATTAATTGCCTTTCAGCTTTAGTTAAGTAAAGGCTGTGCCTCAGAGTGTTTGTCAGAAGCTTAAATGGAAAATATATTTTTCGTGCTTTCATAGGAAGTGAAGTGCTTTTAAAATCAAAATGAAAATTGAATTCATATGTAACAAAATCACATTAAATCCGTGTTTGATTTACCCATTGTTTGCACTCTTCCCCAATATATCTTTTGTAAAAGGCAAAATAGAGCTTTAATAAGATAGATGCTCAATAAAAATTCTTACATAGAAAAACTACAGTATATGCTTACTTTATAATCTACATTGCCTACTGGATCTGTAAAGTAAGTAAAATGTGTAAAGCCATTATCTATTATATTCTGGTGTAAAGGAAGTGGACTTGCCTACTCCATGCTGCTGATTTCATCTTAAAGCAGAGTTCCACCCAAAAGGAGAAGTTCCGCATTAAGGATTGGCACCTAGGCGATCGGAAGCAGAAGTTGTCCTCCTCCCCTCCCTCCCTGAAGTCTTGTGGGACACGTGACAGGTCCCAGAAGACGACGGGGCCATTCAGGAAGCGCAGCGCTACTTGCGCATGTGCAGTGGGCACCCGGCTGTGAAGCCACAAGCAGTCACAGCCGGGTGCCCACACTGAAAATGCCAGCGCTTGACATACAGGACAGCCTGTGAAACGGGCTGCGGCGGGGGCACAGGTAAGTGGCTGTTTTTTAAAAGTCAGCAGCTACAGTTTTTGTAGATGCTGACTATTTTTTTACAGAGTGAGTGGAACTCCGCTTTAAGCTTAGTACACACAATCAGAAAATCGCACAAAAAATACCGCATTCAAAATGATTGTATGATAATCTGATTGTTAGTACACGTCCAAAATTATTTGAAGGGACAATCACGAAAATTTGTCTCGTAAAATACCACATCGTACGATTTTCATTTAACCATTTACCGACGGCCTTATAGCAGATATACTGCTACATGGCGGCCGCGCTGTGCAAAATCACGTATATAAATGTAATTCTGTACTTCATGGTTGTTGATGTGCTTGCGCACCGTTACTTTTGTGATTGGTCACAGCAAAAGCCAGTCAGCAGGTGCTGGCCAATGGTTGAGCACCGGCACCCACCAATCAACTAGCAGACTGACAGAACATAGCTCTGCCTGTGTAAACAAGTCAGAACTGTGATCTGTCAGCGGCAATGTGCTGGATTCTCTATCCCTGCAGAGCAGGGAAAGAGAATCCAGCACATTATCTAGTGAAAACAGCACACGCAGTAAACATTACACATAGCTGGGCACACAGTTAACCCTTTGATCACCCTAAATGTTTAACTTCTTCCCAGCCAGTGTGATTATTACAATGTCAGTGCATATTTTTAGCACTGATCAATATATTAGTGTCACTGGTTCAACAAAGTGGCAGTTAGTGTCAGTGCCCAATTGTCCCCCACAAAATTGCGCTCCTGCTATAAATCGCTGTTTGCCACCATTACTAGTATAAAAAATAAAATAAAAATCCCAGTATTTATACTATAGTTTGTAGACTGTATAACTTTTGCGCAAACCAATCTATATATGGTTATTGGGATTTTTTTTTACCAAAAATATTTAGCAGAATACCTAATCGCAGAGTGGCCTAAATTTATGAAGCAATTCGATTTTTTTATTGGATGTGTTTTATAGCAGAAAGTAAAAAATATTGTGTTTTCTTTTTCAACATTTTCGGTCTTTTTTTGTTTATGTTACATAAAATGAAAAACCCAAAGGGGATCAAATACCACCAAAAGAAAGCTCTATATGTGTAAAATTAGATACATTTCATTTATGTACAGAATTACACGACCACACAATTGTAAATTAAAATAGCCCAGTACCGTATCGCAAAAAAATGGCCTGGTCAGAAAGGGGGGTAAATCTTCCGGAGGTCAAGTGGTTAATCAGTACAGTTTTCATCCGAAAATACAACACAGATTTAATCCAATACATTACGTCGCTTTCTAATTTTGATTCTGTCGTACAAGAATTTTGGTAACTTTAGTAACCTCTTCACTTTCGACAGGACATTAGCATGCATAAAAAAAAAAAAAACAGATGATCATTCGTCCGATATTCTCATCGTGTGTACGGGGCCTTGGTATTGCAGAGAATGCCTTTCTTCCATCATGTTTGATGTGATTGTAGCCATATTAGTTGCACTTGCAACAAGAACAACTGAGTACTGTCTATGATACTTTTGTATTTGCACTGACATCCAACTTTTCAAGACAAGCTTTAGGTGTTTGCTCCCTCTTCAAGGTCAAAGCAGTACAGTACAGTACAGTACTACTTGGACCTTGAAGAAGGGGGCACAGTCCTGAAAAGTTGGATGTCAGTGCAAGTAAAAAAAAGTATCATGAATAGTAATCAATTATTCGTGTTGCAGAGAATGCCAAAATTACACCTTCTGATTGTCAGGAGGCATAGGATATCAATAACCTCCTTCATGCTTAGAACTGGGCTGAAAGTGTATGTCCAGTTTTTATCCATATATACTCCCCAACCTCCCTCTCCAAGGTCTCATTCACATTGGCATACCTGTTCATTCACCCATGCAAGGGGCTGTCTTTGCCCACATAGGATGCAGAGGAGTTCCTTGCATCCACATGCAGGGGGTTCCATTCATATCTTTTGAGACATAGTATTTGCATGGACACAGATGCTGGTCCCAATTTGACAACCATGTGGGTGCAATTGTCCCATATGCAAACAGTGTGTGTGTTTGGGGACACGCATCTGCACCCACATGGCTGTTTGTGCGTTCTCCCTGTGCTTGTGTGGGTTTCTTCCGGGTGCTCTGATTTCCTCCCCCATTCCAAAGACATGGTGGTAAGTTAACTGACTCCAAATTGTGCCTAGTATGTGTTTGTATGACCTTAGATTTTAAGGTTCTGGAGGGTAGGGGCTGATGTCCCCGGAACTACATCTCCGAAGAGGCAGTGGGGGCAGCACAATTTCTGAACATAGGCTATTTCTGAATAGTCAGAGGTTCCTGAGACATGGCAGCTTTAGTGTACAGTTAATACAGGAACTGCAAAACACACTACAAACATATGCAGTTCTTTTAGACCAAGATGAGATGTTTAATAATTCACCAGCCCTGTAATGTCCTTATGACTTTTTACTGTGCAGATTAGTTTTAATAAGGGTTGTAAATATAGTAATATTTTGCTTTCATCCACCTTCTGGTTCAAATTTCAGGCTTTAGGTGAAAGATACACTCAAGATTCCCAAGCAGGACCTGCATGCCCACCATACCAATATCACCAACACCCATACAGCCCCCCTGGCCTAATTTACCAAGGCTTTGATGATTGGCAAATCTGTTATCCACCTCCAGTTGTTGCTCCAGAACATAGCCAAGTTCAAGACTTGCCAAATGGTCCTCCGGTGAGTTATCACAGCTGGCCTTTCTTATATTCTAGGGCTTCCATACATTAATCTAATCCAACTCTTACTCTGTTCACAGCCTGCGTATCAATGGAAAATCCCCAATGCACCTCTGCGTCCACCTAAACCAAAGGGAGCACAGATGCCAAAGTCTAGAATGAAGGAGCAAGGTGAATATTAAGACCTAATTCTAAAATTTTACTTGGATGTATTTTAATTCTGATTGTACAACAAGAAAAGGATAAAGATGAATGTCAGAATGTCACGAAACTGGTTCTCTTCCCTACAGAGGGTCATATAAATGATAAGATATTGACATTTCAATTGGGATTTCTTTTTTATAACCTAACCCTGCTTTAAACGTCGCCACAATTTTATCCCTGACCTGTCTGGTGTGTTCCTTGGCCTTCATGATACTGTTTGTTCACTAATGTTCTCTAACAAACATTTGCACAGAACAGCTGTATTTATACTGAGTGTAAATTACACACAGGTGGACTCTATTTACTAATTAGATGACTTCTGAAGGCAATTGGTTCCACTAGATTTTAGTTAGTGATATCAGAGTAAAGGGGGCTGAATACAAATGCACACCACGGTTTTCAGATATTTATTTGTAAACATGTTTGAAAAATATTTATCATTTTCCTTCCACTTCACAATTATGTGCCACTTTGTATTGGTCTATCACATAAAATCTCAATAAAATAGATTTACGTTTTGGGTTGTAACATGACATGACAAATGTGGAAAATTTCAAGGGGTATGAATACTTTCTTAAGGCACTGTAACATTGTAGGAAAATAATAATTGTATACAGTGCCTTGAAAAAATTGAAAAAGCTCTGTTCCTGTGAGTTGTGTGAAAGAGGGTGTATCTCTTCCCTCCAATCAGCACTTAGAGCTCTCCTCACTGAGCTCTGCAGAGTGTAACCTCAGCTCTCCGCCCCTTTTTTGCTGAGCTCTCAGAATAGCAATATAAATTCAGCAATTCAAACAGATGTCTAAAAGAGAAGATTGCAGATAGGCAGGTACAACTTATGAAGAAGATTAGTTTAATCTCTGTGTATCACCTGAGGCTAGTCATTTTACTGGGTATATTAAGGGTTTACAAGGAGAACTCTACTCACCTCCGCTCCAGCAGTGTGACATCTGAGAGCTCCTATAATAGATCTCTGTTGCAATAAAAACCCTGTCTGCTTACAAATTTTTAACATATTTAAAGGTAAGTTTTAAAGTGGTAGTAAACCGCCAAAAAAAAAAAAATCTGAAAAAACTTCCCCCTGCAAGAAAAGAGCATGATATGTTAGTATGCATTGCATACTAGCACATTATGAAAGACTTGCCTAAAAACAAAGCCCTCCAGCGGAGAACTCTTACAGCTCCCCGAGTCTTCCATCTTCACTTGGTCTTCCTTCCGGGTTTGTGGGCTGAGGTCGTTTGGTGGAGCCGCCGATACTGTCACTCCCGTGTATTCGCACGGGAGTTTCGCCCACAGCACGCTGTCCATTGAGAGTGCAGTGCACATGCGCCAGTGACTTCAATGGCACTGCCACAGTAAATATCTCCTAAATGGTGCACATTTAGGAGATATTTACATTACCTACACATAAGCCTTATTAAAGGCTCACCTGTAGGTGAAAAACAAGGTTTACTTTCACGTTACCATATCCTTCCCCCTCCCAACCTATCCCCTAACCCAGCCTTTCTCAACCTCTTTACCCTAGAGGAACCCTTGAAATAAATTCTAGGTCTTGGGGAACCCCTGGAAAAATTAATTTATCTGGGAAGAATGCCCTTTACATTGGGGGTCAGTATAAGGAATTAAATCCTTACAGTGGTGGCCAGAGAGCTCATAGTGTCATACCACTGGTTCTACCATTTGGCAATGGACTTGGAACCATGGAGGAACCATAAGATGGGAGGTCAACCAGCCACAGCTCAAGGAACCTCTATCCACCTCTGGAGGAACCCAAGGTGGAGAATTCCTGCCCTAACCTGTCTCTTAATACTCAAAGCTAAACTCCTGGCAAACAGCTAATACACAGAGAAAAAAGATATATTAGAGCTGTTTTACCTGGCAAAGGATTTGTATTTCTGTCCATCCAGTCCATAGATCTTCTATACAGTCTCCTCTGGGAGGGCTGTATTGAAGAATTTTCTATGCTGCAGTTGAGTAATACAATTAGATCTTGTCTCTGGCTTCATCCTGTAATTGGAGAGTGAATGAAAGGCATTAGACTATTGAGCTCACTCCTCTGTCACTCTTCACCTGTTAACATGCACCTTGTTAGCACACAAGCACTGCAGCATGACTGACTGGCTCCTCGGTGCTGCTTTTCCTTCTCAGTTTGAACTCTACTGTACAGGGATTGCAATAGGCCAAACCCAGGTCAAATGCAGGTACCTACAATGCTTTCATTTAAAATATTACATGGAATGATGTACAGAGCTAAATTAATTAGTGTTCTTTAAATATGCCAGGAGTTCAGCTTTAACTCCCTCCCAACCCTTACACTGCTAAGCTAACCCCTAAAGCCAGCCCCACTGTAGAACATTTTAGAGATTTACCAATTGAGTTATTACTTGACACATAAAGAGAATCTTTCACTTTGCTCACTGAAGGGAAAGTAACAGATTCTCCTTAGAGGACACCCATACCCACTGATACCTTGTCTTGCTCTCTCGGCTCCATTTGAGAGTGCTAAGAAATATCCAACTTTCCAGGGATGGGAGAACATGTAACCTTTTACCCTTTCTTTGATGATGTAGTGATCATACATGAGTGGTCAACTGCCAGGCTCAAACACTGACATGTAGGGTAGGGAAGCAGGTCATGTACACAGGGCTCCCTCAGGGCAAGAGGGTGGTGATGGGAAAGATAAAAATGAGTGGGCCAGGATTGCTCTGGCTGGGCAAAGTGACATATTCTGTTTACCACCTCCAGCACTTAACATAACCCCTAAGGAGAGTCCTTGACCCTTATATTTGGCCCCCATCATTTAGCTCCTCGTCTGCTGCATAGTCATTCTACACTGTACTGGGAACAAAATTGTTCTTCACCAAGATCCCGGTGCTATAAGAGGCTTTTTCACCTGCAGGAATTCTGTACGTGGGTTCATGTTTTGTTTCTCAGATATGTTTCCAACGCATTTTTTTAAGGTTCTGGAATGCATTGTTTCAGTAGGCTTGTATGGTGTAGTAAAATTGTATGACCTCCAGCCCTATGCTCCTAAAGTCATCTAAATCCAGACTAAAAGTGTTAATCTCTTTCTCAGCTGCCGTGTGCCAACACTATATAGAAACATCTAAATTTTAATGCTAGTATGCATTCATTTTTGCTTTTGCCACATGTCTTGACATGCTGAATTTTTTGTGAAAAAAGTCTTCCCTAGTCTGCTTATGATACGCCTTTATTGTTCCCTACAAGCTAATGAAGATGCAGTGTAAAAACAACAAACATATCTCAAAGATGATCTGTTTTCCCCTAAAATGATACTTTCTTGTGGCTGCATTTTACCTGTTTTTAAATCAGATGCCCATGCACAAGACATTTCAAAAAATGCTTGACTGCTACTTATAAAAAAAAACTTTGCCTATGGCCAACCAACCACATTCCAGTCATTTATGCTAGCGTATGATTGGTTACTGTAGGCAACAGACACTTTCCTACAAGTTTCTTTTATAGAGTCCCCAAAAATAACCAATCTGGTTACTCTCACTATATTTACTTTTTTAATTCTTATTTGTTTTAGATGCTGCCAAGCGAGGAACCCAAAACCTTCAAAGACCAACCTGAGCCTGAAGGCAATGATGCTTTGTGATTCACTTTGTTTTGGCACTCCTTCCTTTCTTTGTGTTGGATCATTACATCCTTTTAGCTATTATGTTGGCATCACGTCCTTTCTGCATGTAGCATTATTACATCCTTTTAGCCAGTTCCTGAGCTTACAATGGTGGACATCCTTAGCACTTGGTATCAGGTTGAAGATTGGTCAGTGATGATCGAATAAAGATGGAGTTAATTTAGAAAGCTTAATGCAATCGGTTACAACATATGGAATACAATTTGAAAACATTTTACTAGCCTATTTTTTCAGTTCAAACCGTGTATGATGACACAGTCCAGTTGGGCTTAAATATTTACTGTATTCATGTTTAATTTATCATTGGAATGTCTCTAAGTGCCCGTGAAGGCTTTCGATTGAGTCTGTCAGTGAACATTATCTCAAGTGTCCCTACCACTCCAGTCTAAACATATCCAGTTAGAACAATATTTCTGTCATAAATTATTTCCGGCCAAATATTATTCATAATAGAGGTAACTGCAGTTGGTTCTATCAGGTTGAGAAAAATAAAATATATTAGAGGGCGGAATTCAGCAAACACAGGAAATGGGTATATTTTGTAATTTTTACACCATATTATAAATGGTACCTTTTAGCGTAGGAAGTAGTGTGGGAAGCTATTTTTTAGGATGGGGTAGTCCCCCCAATTCACCAAGAATTAGTGACATCCGTGAAAGTGTAGTGTATTGCTAGGATAGAACAGTGTATTGTATTGTCTTGTTATGGTAGGAATCCTGTGCAGCTCATATATGTGGTACAGTATATGTAGTCTATATGAAAGGTCAACATGAATGCCTGATTTGACGAGACATGCTTGTCTTCTGTAATTCACCCCTTTAGTCTTGCTCAGCAGTAAATATGAGTTGGCTCAACTTGTACACTGCAGAGGTGGAGCGAAGACTGTTTATGCAATAGTGATCATGATCTGAATGCTATGACTAAGAAAAAAAATGCCTCTTCTGACAATTTTTTGACTTTTCTTGACCAAATGATGATTCCAATATACAGCTTCAGAGAGGTGATTGGTGGTTGGAACATGCAGGTGAGAATAGTGGAATGGAATAGTAGAAGGGTGAGGTATAAACATTGGATATATAATGGATTAGCAAGAGCTGTCCTATTCAGCAGAAAGAGAGAATCCTTATATGTTTAACACTGCTAGGCACAAGGTGGACAATAAGCTGTGCAGAAAGTCAAGTCTTGACAGCTATGAAAGGAATAAGTGCCTGTTGATGCTCTGCTCCCACATCTCATTGCCTGGAATGAGCTATGAGGTAGCGACTAGGCTATTTCATGGGGCTTTTGAAGTTAGGAAAGCCTTTGCAGTAGGTGTATGAGATAGTACCAGCTGGTAGAAGTGCCTGGGCTAGATCCAGAACACATTGTGGATTATAACTCCTGGTAGGCATGAGAACAATCTGCAATTCTCTGGAAGAAACTGAGTACCGTAGGAAGGCCTCCACTAGGACCAGTGAAAGGCAAGTTAGCAGGCCCCACTGTGGACCGGTTGATGATGGAGGCTTTTGGACAATAGGAAGTCATCTTCCATCTTACTTCCCTTGAATATTTGAGTAACGGAGTTTTTTGGTAAAAGAAAACTGTCACTAAATTTGCAGTGTTGCCAATGCTGACCTCTTCTGAAAAACAATAGTTACCTTATACAGTTTATATAATATATTTCTAATGTGACTGATATACTTTGGGACATGAATAGATACCATTATATAATGTCTCCATTCACACTGGCTTATAAAACAATGCTCCTAGAGGAGTTTAGCATTTTGCCTGTAGAAGCAGCTAATGTTATCATATGTGTCTGTGCACATTTGGTAGTCTAGAGTGGTGGTTTTTTAAGCTCAGCGTTTAAAGACAGAACCTTCTGTTGAAGGGTTTTCGTTTTCTGCCAGAAAAATGCTCTAAAAAAAATGCAAAACACTCCTAAATGATGCCAAATGCTCTTAAACGCTAGTACAAAAAAATTCTACAATTAGCGTTTTATTTTCTGCCAAGAGAACTTGCATTTTTTTAAGTCAGTGTGCATGGAGCCTTAATGTATCAGGTGATAATTGGTCCATGTAGGACACATGAAAGGTTGTACTGAGAGACTGGCCTTGTGTGTGATTGGGGAGTTTCCATTTTTCTTTCTATTCCTCTGTTGAATTGAATGGACATAACCACTAATTCTATTACAACAAATGTTATATGTTTATGTGAAGAATGCTGTGGAGGCATATCACACAAGCAGATTTTGAAAATTAATCTATAATCAGCTTTTTTGCTTGATCTATCTAGTATTTGCACTTGCCCACTGAGCTGAGCTGTATGCGACATTGAAAGAATAAACTATATTTTGTATAGTGCATATGAGAATGAGCTTATTCAAGCTGACCTAGTTGTCAAAGACTTTGCATTTTGATGCCCAGACTGTGAGAAGACTTGTCCATAATACTGGTAATTAGGTACATGGTGGTGGTCATCATTCCTTCTGATTAGACCTATTTCAGAAAAGTCTATTCAATAGACAGTATAGCTCCTGGGATAATGGACGCCATCTTGGAGAACGTCCCTGGAACCTATCTTTGACAAAATTATTTATTGCTGCCCATAGCAACTGTTAAGCTGCCAGCTGTTATTTTGCAATGCAGAGTTGAAAACGATTAATTTCTATGGGCAAAAAGATATTTTGATTTTAACATACTTTTCCTACCCGTCTAACCCCACTGTCATTAATACAGCACTTTCCCTTCCTTCATAAAAGTAAAAATACTAAAATTCAAACTCTTGATACAAAACATAATTTTTTTATTCACTTTTGCTCCCTTTTCGTTTTCCCTTTGGGATATTATTATTATTATTATTATTTATGTAATTAAAAGTCACAAAGATAAGGCAGCACTCACGGGCTTGAATGGCTATTTGATCATGTTTATTTCCACATTTGATGAGAAGAAAGATTGTCTTCGTCAGGTTTTTGACCCTCTCAAAAGGTTGAAACAAACTTTATCATTGAGTGTTCACCCTTTTTAAGCTCCGTGTGTGCCTCCTTAACTTTTGGATATGTATCTTATGCTTGATGAGCAACCAGGCCCAGTTTTATATTACCAAACACTCCTGCTCCTGAACTTCTATCAGAGTTTGTTTATTTGGTGAAGCAAAGACAACTTTTGTGAAAGTTTTCCATGGAGGTGACCATTTCTTTTCATTCTTTCAGTGCTAGCTGTTTGGGAAGGGGAAGGGAGGTCATGCTGATCCTATGGCTTCAATAATTTTAGTTACTAACCCAAAACAAGTATACAGATAAGAATTTTGATTTTTCTCTAAATTTCCTGATCTTCATACTAGTTTTGCGTCAGTCATGGAGTATATTCATTCACACCCCACATGGAAGAAAAGTATATTTGAAATATATTTTAACAATATTCTTTCCAAATATATTGACATATATTTGAAATACTACAATTCTGGCCATATTCAATATATTTCAATAAATAAATAAATATATATATATACTGTATGTTGAAATGCGTTTTTATTACAAAATATATGAAAAAAACATTTTCAAATATACTGTGTCTTTAAAAATACAAATCTACATTTTTGGAATGCATTTACAACTGTATGTAAAAATATATGTTAAAATTACTTTTTTATATTCTAAAAAAAATCTGAAAAATATAAAACTCATTTCAACATTCACTGTGTGTATGTGTGTATATATATATATATATATATATATATATATATATATATATATATATATATATATATATACACATACATACTGCATGTTGAAATGTTTTTTTATATATTATAAAATATATGACAAATATTAAAAAAAAATATATATTTTTTAATATATTCTTCAGGGTTTTTTTTAATATAAAAAAGTCAGTTTAACATATATTTGTACATATATTTGTAAATGCATTCCAAAAATGTAGATTTGTATTTTTAAAGACATACAGTATATTTGAAATGTATTTTTAAAAATATTTTTCATATACTTTGTAATAAAAATGCATTTCCGCATACAGTGTGTATATATATATATATATATGTATATATTTTGAAATATATTGAATATGGCCAAAACTGTATTTCAAATATATGTCGATATATTTGGGAAGAATATATTTAAATGGGACACCATACTGGAATCAATCTTGTGGTTAACAAGGTACTGCAATGACTGGTAACTAGGCAAGGTGTAGGACACGGATAAGATATGTTGTCAGCACAGCTGGAAGGTTGTTTCAAAGTGCAAGACTCTTTTTTTTGTATCTCTAATGAAGGATCCCTGTGTTGTTCTGAAATTTTGTCTTTCTATGTGATCATGGCATAAAGAAGAGCTTTGCACTTGCAGCTTTTTTTGGTGTGCTGATGACATATCTTGTTCTTGTTGTGGGTCAGTGAAGTGACCCAGAAATATGAAGGCTAAAGGATAAGTGCTAGATAGCATGCATTGACAGCGATGGCAGCCCTTAGAATAAAAAAAGTAGACACCCATGAGTGGAATATGCTGTGCATCATGGAATGGATCAAGTTGGAGCGCCTAGTTAGCATTCCTCTCTTTTGCTACCCCACTAGCCAATGAAAGAGCTTACGAAGAAAAGGTATTTTTGGAGAAAATTAAGGAATGACATTTTGGGTCTCGTTGGCTGTAGCGTAGTGCAGACAATTCTTTGAAAGACCATTTGATAAAAGTAGGCATTTTGTGATCTAAGAAGAGACAGACACTGCTATCATTTATCTACAACCATGACAGAAAAAGAATTACTAAAATAATAAATAAGAAGCTACAACATATGTTGCTGTCAATGGACAGAGAAGAGTTGGCATTTTTATTTTGTGCTGGAAATAGCAGATTCTTTGTACCCTATAGCAACCAATTAGATGGCTGCTGTTAGAAACCGAGTGTAGCCAGATTATTGATTGCTAGGGCCAATTCTCA